AGATTCCCAAGGATTAGATTGTATTTTCGTTTGAAATATCACTCATTCAATGCATTTACCCTGACGTTCATTGCTCGTTTGTAATTTGTCCAAATTTTTGTGAATAAACGATCATAATCTAAAGCTTCTTTGGGCTAAAGCTAAAGTTCAGTTCACCCAGCAGTGGTTTGAAGTCCGTGCTCCATTCAAGGTGGCTGGCGGCTTCTTTGGTTTTCCTGGGAAAGTGCACTCCCTGTCGGACGAACATGTCCCACTTTACAAAGTCACCGGTAACGATGGGTTCACTGGGACCACTGCTAACAATAGATCTGGGACTGCTGTCGTCTAGCAACTGCCAATCCACCCAAAGAGCCACTCCATTGCAGGTTCCAGGACTGTAAGAGCGAATGAGATTAATACTTTTAGAAGTCGTATTACTGAGTTGTACCTACTGCTTCAGTTCTATGCTGCCCTTGAGACTGTGCTCTTTACTAAAGTTGCTGAACTGCACATTGAGCACTTCCTGCGGCTCGGAAAGGGCGTGGCAGGGGTATTCCCAGAGAGGCTGGGCTTCCACCAGGGACACTGCCTGCTCAGCAGATCTCTGTAAGCAAGAAAAATCATTATATCGTCTGATAAATCCATTAAAGTCCAAGTATCAAAGCTCACCTCTACCATTTCATCAAACAAACGCAGATCGAATCCCTCGCAACTGCCAACGGGTGCACATATCTTGTGCAGATCCAGGAATTCTACGGGCAGAGCATAGATTCTCGCTGAGCAGGGCGAAATCTTCACACCCTCTGGTAGTCTGTCCTTAATTTTCAACAGCAAGGTGCCAAAGTAAAAGTTGTCCCACGGCAGGATGGCACTCATGAAGTAGGGCTCGGCAAAGATGTGGGTTAGTGATTTCAACTGCGACTCCTCGAGCTCCTCAACCTTGTCCACAAACTGGACGTTCTTTAGTTGGTTATGCTGAACAATCGACTCGAGTAATCTGCGCGAGAAGCGATGAGATTCATGCAGTTGCACAGAGGCAGCTCCCAGGGCAGAGCTCGCTAAGCCCAGGAGGCAGCCATTTCCTAGGACCAAAACATTGGATTTCCCCGCCTCAATGCTTTCCTCCAGGTAGAGTAGGTAGCGTTTGTTTCGCGAGGACTGGTTAAGCTGCCCGATTCTGCTGCGCGAGTAGGTCATGTGTAGGTCACAGGAGCAGGTATGGCGCCGTACACTCTTCGTCGGCGCCTCCTCGCGAGCATCGAACCACAGAGAGTACTTGTCGTGGTGACAGCTCAGGTGAAAGGATTTACCTGCCTCGAGCAGCTGGAAGGGCTTGGGTATGTAGTAGATGGCCTGCATCCAGTGATCCCGCCAGGGCACCACATTGGGCAGCGGGTGGTCCTTTGCCTTTTCGGCCGCCAGTTCTTTTAGTTGAGGATGCGCCCAGTAAGGAGCACAGCTGAGGAGGATCTCACCGCCGTCGTCTAGTTGGATGTCCCACCAGTAGAAGCTCCAGTTCAGCAGCTCCTGGTTGCTTGGATTGCAGCTTTAGAATCTGCTCCCGCCGTTTTTCTCTCTCCTGCTTGCGCTGAAAATCAAACTAGAAGATCTCCACAGGATCGGTGATCGGACGGAAGGCTGAGCTGGGCAACTGGGACAGCTGGACGTCGTGGAGGGCAGCCTCTCCCTGGCAGCCTTTAAGCAGCTCCGGCGGTTGCAGCAGAGGTTCGCCGTCCAGGTTGGCCAGCGTTTTCAGGCTGTTCCACTGCGCAGCAAGCGGGGATTGGGCCACCTGGGCGTAGCACCTGGCGCGAGCGGGAATGCAGAAGGCATCTTCAGTGAGAAGTTCCGCGTGGGCATGGTTGTAGATCCCAATGGCTCCCTCGCCGATGAGTTCCGTGTCCAGCAGCTCGGCCACCAGCAGATTGGCCTTCCGTGGCATGTCCTCGCCCACCTGGATCTCCGTGGAGCGCTTTCGGATGAGGCGCACCTTGTCACCAGCTCCATTTGCGGCAAGGATCTTCTCCGCGCAGTAGGCCATGGGCAGGAAGGCCTCGCAGGCGGTCACCGAATCCGCTCCAGCTGCCAGGGCCATCATGGAGAGGATTCCTGTACCGGTGCCGATGTCCAGGACATGGACCTCCCTGCCCGCCGCCCGCATTTCGCCGATGGTCTTTTTAGGGCGGCAAAGTACTTCTGATTCCGCTCCCAATCGTGCAGCATGTCGCCGAATCCCGCGTTGGCCACCTCCAGGTGGTAGTCGTACTCATCGCCGCGCTCCTGCCAGGAGTTCTCCCCCGTCATCGGGTTAAGCACTTGCGAGAAGCAGGACACCGTGCGGGGACTCAAAAAGCGTGCTTTTAGCAAATTCCCCAACATAAAAAACCGACTATGTAAATTCTTTCTAAAGTGCAGGCTGCTTTGGCTTAAAAAGAGCTAAAAATAATGCTGAAATAGCTATACTTTAATTTGGCTACAAGAACGATTTAAGATAGCTAAAATTTATCGATTAGCCGCGTATAAATATCGAATTTAAAATGCAACTTAACAATAGTAAAATATATCCATAACCGATGCCAAGCCTCAACCCTATTCTCAATTGCATTTCTTAAGCATCGAGGTCCTGATCAAGTTTTTGCCCTTATAAGTATTTGTTAAGAACTGCTTTATTCGGTGGCAGTGCCGCTAGCTCAGTCTTTCCTCAGGGCAGAGTACCCCTAATGCCACAGCTCGCAACATAAATATCGATACTTCACGGTCTCACATTACTAAACTATCGGTCATCACTAATGACAAAAAAAACGTAAACAAAGCAAAATTCTACAAATATTGACGGAAAAATGGATTACGTTTGGTGGCTATCGGTGACCTAGCCAAGCGCTCCCACCCAACCATGGATGCCCTCAAGATGCTGCAGGGCACCACCCATTCGCAGTCGGCAGGAGCCCCCTCCTCGGGACTACGGCGGTTCCATCTCCCCCACTGGGAAAGCTTACTCACACATAGTGGGTATTACAAAGGTTTAATAAATATTGTAAGTACAATCGTTTATATACATGCTCCTCTTAACAGATCTATCCTTCCTCAGCCTTTAAGACCGAAACCTGGCCGCCGTCTCGGATATTTACGAAGTCAAAGCAGAGGAATCGTTTTGCAGGAAAAGGGTACAGGCGCCGCGGAAATTATGCTCTACCAGTCATGTAAACGCGGCCCTCAAAGGAACATGCGCGATGCGCGTGTGTATGGTCATCTAATCCTGAGGAGCTCCATGGGAAAAAAAGGGACAGGCCAAAAAGGTACGTAAATGCACTGTAAGCTATACCATTTAACTAATGCTCGCGACCCTTTTAATTTTTAGCAAACAACGAGGACAAACAAGGCTCTCGGGTCTAACTCCGGATAAACTCACAAACAGGTAAGTAGATATCAATATATATAATCGAGGTACACGTGTGTTCAAAATTTCCTTAATTCCAGCCACTGTCGGGCCGGGCCTGGAGGATGATAGCCCGGGCTGATGACTTCCCGTCGGAGGCCAGCAGCGATACGGATCTCCACACGGGAAAACGGCGCTCTCTAGTGAGTTGTGTAAGGGCAGTCCGAGATTCGGCTGGCAGACAAAATGGCGATACTTCTCAGCGCCGCAATGCGACCGCTGGAAGTTCCCGGGATGAGGAGGACGCTGTACGCCGGAACGGACTCACCGGGAAATGTTGACGTCGTCGGCGTCGACTGTGGAAGGCCTTTCTGGATGGTCGTTGGCACGGGTCGAACGGACACCGGTTGCTGGGCAGCCAAGTCGGGCTGGTAGGTATGGCGAAGTATGGCGATGTCGGTAAAACTCCAAATAAATTCTTCCGGGGCCCTTTGTATTGGGACCCCGGTTGCCTTTATAAATGATAAATATTAAATACCGAGCTACTATGGATCTTTAACATAACTCACTTTTAATTTAAAGCACAAAGAAAATGTATACTCTCACTCCTAGCTGCATCTGCCTTGATTGTTGGACAGTATGGCCGCGACTATCACGATATCTGCTGATCATCGCCCCCCGCCATATTACATGGCCTCTCTCACACTCGACTCCAATTGCAACATATTAAGAAGTTCGGGCTAAGAAATATTCAAAATTAAATAGTAAGGTAAATAGATTCAAACATTTAGCTTTCATGGCGTCTGTGTAGCTCAGCAATTAAGACGTTTATAAGTCTGTTCGCTTCTCTCGTCCAAAAGCTCTCGTTTAAGCTCAGCTTAAGTTTTCGGTAGACGCAACTAATTAGAGTCAACGATATCGAGCTTCGGTCGGCCACCGGATTTACATTTATTTATTGGGCAATATTTAAAATGATAAATTGGGCACATATTCAAATGCAAAGAGCATGCCAACCATATATTATTTTATATTTATAATCATTTCATTCTTGGCATTCAACAAACATAATTGGCGTACGTTTGCTCTGCATAAATTGGATATTTTACTTTTATTTTTCGTGGTATATGGTTAGCTAATTGGTTAATTAAGTGACCCCTGAGCAGAAAGTATCGACGAAAATAGATTTTTATGCAAGCCAAGTCATTTTGGTCGAATTGGATGTTTGTTGCTGTGTGAGATTTTTTAAGTGGCATTATTAAAACGGATTACGCCTCTTCTGCAGGTCATCTGCTTCATCTTTTTCGTAAAAATAGCAACTGATATTGGTAGTTTAAAGTAGGGTAAGCAAATTCGCGATACCTTATGAATAGATTTCGCTTTAGGAGAAATAGCTTTCAGGTGCTGCATTTATGCATTAGAAATTGAATAATAAGCAGGGGCTTCGATTAGAAAAAACAAAAATAAACAAAGCGTTAACACGGGATGTCTGAAGGTTGTACACGATAAAAATTAAGCCTTGACACCTGTGACATATTAAATTACAACGAATTCATCATAAATTTCAAATTTAAATTTTATCACTGGTATCAAATTGATTTAATTTTTTATTTATAGATTTATTATATTAATAAATTTGTGTTCTCTTTGGGATGTATATATATATTTTTTTAATGTCGCTGTTATCATTTTCGATTTAAATATAAAATGAAGTACAAAGTTGTGATATACAAAGTGATTTAGTTCGGGTGTTAAAACTATCACTGCCTTTATGTTGGGAGTGGAAAAAGAGTCATCTCACTATTGAGCAAAAGATGGGAAAAATCCCAAAAATATACAGGGCATTCCAAAAACTACTCAACTGCAGCTTTGATGGCCAACATATGTATAACTAAAGTTTACACAATTAATATCAAAAAATAATAAAGCCATGTTTCGGTACATCTTTCGATCTCACTATACTCAAGTTCACTAAGGCAAAGGCCGAGCTGGGCATCCTTGAGCGCTTGGTCAGGCGTGTAGTTAAACCATTAGCACCGGCTAATAGTTAAACACAACCAATTTCCGCTAACTGCAGTCGCGTAGATCAGTTGACCTTTGACATTAGCCGGCGGAGGCCCTTTAATCGCTGCGTGGCCAGCTGCCTCGCATGCAAATGAGTGTTGGCGTGTCCCGTGGACGTGGACGTGGACGCTCAATCCAGTCGCCTGGCCCATTGACATTGCCAAACCCATTCAAATCTCCCGATAACGAAGAGCGGTTGCCGGCGAACAGCCACGCTCTTAACCCGTAGTTTGTCATATGATTCCATACTAAATTACATACATTAATTTTAATGTTTTATAAATAAGTACGGCAATTTGATTAATCTCTTTAAATTTATTGATTTATAATCACAAGGAAAAGCTTTAACTTGTTATTTAATAATATTTATTTATTATTTCCCATCCTTATTTCAAGAAGTAACTATAAACCGGTTTCTATAAACTTTATAAGGAGAACCACTTGGACTGAGCTTGAGTCTGGACAAATTAAAAGGGTCAAGGTCGTTCATTTTAACGCTGAGATAAGCAATTAACTTCTCAGAAAAAAGAAAAATATGTATGTTTTCTTCGTAGGTTTTTATATTCTATATTCAAATATTAAGAAAAATGTCAATAAGAGATTTGAATACCATAACTATTTAAATACGGAAAGTATACAAAATAAAATAAAACATACGTAAGACCTAACGACAATTTTATAATATTGCAAGATATTTTAAGCTGATGCTTTAATTTAATTAGTTCGCCCAACACCCATCGCAGGGTTAACGATCACCACTTCACTCTCTTCATAACTAGCTGCCTTTTCTTTGACAAAAAGAAGCGCAGGCCCTCACCGAAGACACGAAGACAGGTGAACAGCTGGCCCAATCTTTTTGGGCTCTATCTTTCGGTATAAAAGTGCCGGCCCATCTGCAGTTGGTCATCATTCAGCTTGAGCGTCTTGCGACCAGAGCTTACCAAAGCAAATCCAACGAACTTAAAAAGCCCAATCAACAAATCAACAACAATGGTGAGTACGCAGTCGACTGTCCAGCTGATAGTGGCTGACCTTGGTCAAGCCCTTACCTTGGCCGGCGGCTAACATGTCACGGCTATGGATCCCGATCTTCGTGCCCAGTGCTCATCCGCTTCCGCCTCTTGCAGAAACTCTTCGTCTTCGCTGTGTGCGCCATCGCCGTGGCCTCCGCCGATGTGTCCCACCTGAACCTGGGCAGTGGCTACAGCTACAACAGGCCGACGCCGACCTTCAACATCCCGTCGGCTCCCGCCCCGGCCTACCTGCCTCCTGTCCAGGACATCCCTGCACCTGCTCCTGTTTACTCCGCTCCTGCACCTGCTCCAGTTTACTCAGCTCCGGCACCTGCTCCAGTTTACTCAGCTCCGGCACCTGCTCCAGAGTACCTGCCCCCTGTCCAGGACATCCCTGCACCTGCTCCTGTTTACTCAGCTCCAGCACCTGCTCCAGTTTACTCAGCTCCAGCACCTGCTCCAGTTTACTCAGCTCCGGCACCTGCTCCAGTCTACTCTGCTCCTGTTCCAGCTCCTGAGTACCTGCCCCCTGTCCAGGACATCCCTGCACCTGCTCCTGTTTACTCAGCTCCAGCACCTGCTCCAGTTTACTCAGCTCCAGCACCTGCTCCAGTTTACTCAGCTCCGGCACCTGCTCCAGTCTACTCTGCTCCTGCTCCAGCTCCTGAGTACCTGCCCCCTGTCCAGGACATCCCAGCTCCGGCTCCAGTCTACTCCGCTCCTGCTGCAGCTCCAGTTTACTCCGCTCCAGCACCTGCCCCCGTTTACTCCGCCCCAGCTCCTGCTCCTCTTCCCGAGTACCTGCCCCCCGTCCAGGACATCCCAGCTCCAGCTCCCGTTTACTCTGCTCCTGCTCAAGCTCCAGTTTACTCTGCTCCTGCTCAAGCTCCCGTGGAGTCGGGCTACCAGTACAATGTGCCCGCCAAGCGTTTCCGCTTCTAAAGTGGGCCACAGGTGGACCCAAAGAGCGCACAGCCATTCGCGTGGCGACGACTTGTTAAATTAACAAGCTAGGTCGCCCATTGTTGTTGAATATTTGTTGTTACGCAAAGTTCCCGTTGAGATTTTAGCTAATAAATAATCATAAAAAGTTATTAAAATGTAAGCACAAGCGGTGTTAATTGCAAATGGATCAATGGGGTGAAGGGGATAAGTCCAGAGTTGCGCGATTTCGGTGACCGCTTTAATGCATACGTATGCATATTTAAATTCGGCGCCATAAAGCCTGGTGAGAGTCGAGATCAGCGTTGGCCAAATCAGACCAACAACAAGGCAGATTATACAAAGATGACCTCAGGTGTAGGCCATAACCGCGTTGGCAAACTTTGGCCAAGAGTCTTCGCCAAGACCACTCAACTTACGTACGTATAACAAGTTTATATGGAAGAAATCTCTCGAGGGTTACAAATTTGATCGCCGATGGCCCTTATACTTCATCAGGTCCTCGAGTTTAATGGTTTTCTGGAATTGTGTCTTAAAATAAACATAATGTGGTTTTGTCGTAGCTATAAATTAACTCACAACGAGATTCAAAGTTGTCTTCCCTCTATTAAATGCGAATGAAAAAAATATTTTTAATGGCTGCAACTTATGATATATAGTTTTATTATGAACATTGGGTTCTAGCCCATTTTTAATATACCCTCTTTTCACAGAGGGGGTTTCCGCATCAGCGACTTTTAATTCCATAAATTGACCCGAATTCTCTATTAGGTCTAATAAACCTAAAAGACCAGGATCAAGGTGCCTTTTAATGGCTCGAAACCCAGCAATTGATCTCATTTTAAAAAGAAATATTGCCATTCTCTTTTTAAGGAAATGACCAATGTCCTTCTTGGCAAGACCTGGAACCTGTTGCACCAAGACGTACATTACTATTTACAGAAAAAGCCATTTGAGCCTCCCAAAATTATCCCTTATTCTCTATTAAGGCTTTTAAACTTTAAAAAAACCGCCGATAAAGTAGATAACAGCGCATAATGAAACATTTTAAAACAAATAACAATATCTTGTTATTACATTATAAATATTTATAATATCTATTTTCCTCTTAAAAATAATTTATTTTGTTAAAAATTTTTTTGCTTTAAATATTTGTACACTTTAAGTAAATAAAACCGCAATGGATGAAAAACTTGGCAAAAAAATTACAATGCAATATAAAACCGTTGGACTTGCTACATTTTTTTTATCGGTAAAAATTGCTAACTTGTTTTCGGTCACTTGATTTATTTTATTTTTTTGTAAACAATTATTACGAAAAATATACCACACATTATTTATGTATTTTTTATTATTTATTAAAACATTTATTTATTTTGCAGTTGCGGAAAAAAAATAACACTTTTCCAGGATCTGAAAATGGGAGATGTTTGAGATTTTTATTTAAATACGTACACAAAAGTAAGAATTGTTGTTAAATGTTATTAATATTAATTTTTATCGAATTTACACAAATATAAGTTTTAAAAACAAACATCTCTTATTTTTGTCCCCAGAAACTTTGCACTCAATAAGATTTTTAAATTCTTTCACAGATTGGTTCATTTGTTTATTATATGCACCATTTGTTGCTTTTCACGTCAAAAATTAATATTTTTCACAGCTATTTTTTTTCCGCCACGTGTTATTTTGGGAATCTTGTATTTCCCTTATTTTAAATATAGATTATCTTGTTTTTTACTCTCACTGTTTTCAATATTGTTAGTCTGCGACAGACTTACCTAGGAATCGTTTCTTTTTCACTTTTAAGGCACTAATTTAATAAATATAACAAAGTTAATTGCTGGTAGTTTTGCTTCAACTTCTAACTCCTTCACTAAAGTAAACGCAAGTGAAAAATACGAAAAAAGGCGCGTGCCTTCCAGAAAAACAACAAGCAACAACAACAACGGTTCCGCTAAGCCGTTGTTGTTTTTTTTTGCATGTCCCGTTTGGTCTATGCATCTTGCACATAAAAGCAGGGTATTTATAGACATATTCGACTATGCAAATCGGTTTATAAAAATATATTTTTATTACTTTACATATTATTAAATAATATTAATAAACATATAAATTTGTTTAAGAAATACAAATATTTTAAAACAGAAACCTATTATTTTAAATGGTGGTTTTAACATTTACGAACAAATGTCGCATTATTGAAAAGGCAAGGGTGCACAAAGATCTCTATATTTTAGTTGCTGGGCCTCCTTCCCTTCACGCGCACTTTTCCGTCTGAGACATGGCGAGAGAGGAAGAGCCCAAAATTACTTTTTGTGCGTTCTCTTTGCGGACCCAGACTGAGAGTGCGTCGCTTTGCCGCCGTTGCGCTCAGCTCTGCCGGCGTCGCTGGCTTCTCTGCCGACGTCGCAGTCGGCTTCGTGATGATTGGGCGCTTAACTCAATTGTGGAACTGCAGGGGAGTGTGCATCGGCTATGTCGGGAGGGGGACTCCGCTATTTCCGGTGTGTGCATCGGATACACCTCAATTCATGGCGATGGGCGAACCTCGATACCACCGATAACAACGGCACCGAAGAGAAGCAACAGCCGTAGAGTAAAAAAAACATGCCAGAGTAAGTTTTCGTTGTTTTTTGTTGATGTTGTTGTTCCTATTGTTGTTGTGGCCGTCGTGCTTAGAATTAATATTTCCATTTAGTCTAGTTTAAGCCACTCCAGACAGCGGCGGTGCGCGGCGCTAAACGGCAAGCGAGCAGAAACTGGAATTGAAATTCTGGGCTAACCGAGAGCCACGATTCATACATATGTGTCTGCTTTTTCGCCAGCGAATCGGAGTTAAATGATTGAGTAGCGGATAATATCGGACACCGAGATCCGCGGAGCCACGTTTGCGTGGAGCTCAACCCAGTGCTAACTACCTCAGAAACCCAGTAGCAAAGCCTACTGTAAGCCAACATGCTGCCTCGGTTCCGTTCCTTCTACGGCAAGCTGATCATCTTCATTCTGGTCGCCTTGTGCTTCATCCTCTACAGCAAGGTGCAGCAGAACGGCGCTCCCGAGGAGCAGGTGGCTCCTCCCGTCCGGGCGGCCGCTCTGCGTGGCCATGGACGCGAGCGGTTCGAGGCGTACAGCGACAGCGAGAACGAGATCGCCAGGCCAGCCACTCAGTCGCCCTACGAGCAGATCATCCAGCTGGACCTCCACAAACAGAGGGTGGGACTCGGCGAACAGGGCGTGGCAGTGCACCTTACGGGCGCCGCCAAGGAGCGGGGCGATGCCATCTACAAGAAGATCGCCCTCAACGAGGAGCTCAGCGAACAGCTGTCCTACAATCGCAGTGTCGGCGACCACAGGAATCCCCTGTGCGCCAATCAGCGCTACGATGACGCCTCCCTGCCCACCGCCAGTGTGATCATTATCTTCTTCAACGAACCCTACTCCGTGCTGCTGCGGACGGTGCACAGCACGCTGAGCACCTGCAACGCGAAGGCGCTCAAGGAGATCATCCTGGTGGACGACGGCAGCGACAACGTGGAGCTGGGCGCCAAGCTGGACTACTACGTTCGCACGCGCATTCCCGCCGGCAAGGTCACCATCCTGCGGCTTAAGAACCGGTGAGTAAGGGGGTTACGAGGCTATATGAGGTACACCTTGGAATCCCCAATAATGTATAGAGATAACACTTTCTATTTGTTTGAAAAGTGTAAAGTATCAGGTTTATATCGCTGATAGATTAAAGACGATCAAAATATCAAGAAGGTTCCCTGATATTTTCACTTTTTGGTTGAAATTTAGGAAAATACTTACATTTTGTTTAAAGACTGTTAGCTTTTTACGATAAGTGTTTAAACGTCACAGAGCCCACGAGATAACAATACATAATCTACAACGTGGATTCCCTGAATTAATTGACTCTCTATAACGTATATTAAACGTTGAACAAAATGTGATAGCGCTAGCGTCGCATGAAGTTTATAAACAAGACTTTAATAATTCCAAGTAAGGTTCGACTTGAATAAACAAGTGCGAATTATAAACATATGTTTAATGTGATGTTCTTTGTGTGGGAGAAGTGTGCAATTTAGCACCTGATCAATTAAGACAGCGTAAAAACCAACTTAAAGAAAAAGGGGCACAGGACCTATTGAAACTTTAGTTTTGATGACACAAATAAAATGTGTATCTCGCGCAAATTAGAGAGGCTTTGTTTATTATTATTATAGCTAACCTTTGGTATATGCAAATGTTTCATGTTTCAACTTTCTTGTTCTCGTCGTTTAAAAATTTATAGTATTTATATTAGCTTGAAAGATTTCTAATTGTATCTAACCAAATAAAAATCAAAATTAGGTTTTATGATTTTTTAAATTACACCTTCATAGCTAATTAAAATACCTAGATTCTTTCCATTATTGCCAATAGAAGAGGAAAAGTTCAGCAATTCGGCTAATCGAATCGCTGGCGGCTTGAACTCATTTGAATAACTTGTTTGCCATGTCAGACGCGCATGGAGCATCTTCTTTTTGGCCAGAACCGCCGACAAACGCTCAAAAAATCCAAAACTAAAGACTGAACACAAAAAAATGAAGAGAAAACCAGTTCGTCAAGTTACGATTATGTGTGTTGGGCTTGACTTTTTGTAACTCCCAGACTTGGTTTCTGCGTGCATTACACTCGGCAACCCGCGAGCTTTGCAGACTTTCTGATGACTTCACGCGGCTGAAGCCATGTAGGATGGTGTTAATCGTGCTTGGCAGACGATCGAAGGTTTTCGGTTGACCCAATAAATTTGTTTTGTTTTTTTTTCTCTATGTTTTGCCCTTCACATAGCTAAAGAAAGTTTTCATCTCTCTCGATTTTCAGATTGGGTCTGATTCGTGCCCGATTGGCGGGCGCTCGAATCGCCACGGGAGATGTGCTCATCTTCCTGGACGCCCATTGCGAGGGCAATATTGGCTGGTGTGAGCCTCTCCTGCAGCGGATCAAGGAGTCCCGGACAAGCGTCCTGGTGCCCATCATCGATGTCATCGATGCCAGCGACTTCCAGTACAGCACCAACGGCTACAAGTCCTTCCAGGTGGGCGGATTTCAGTGGAACGGCCACTTCGACTGGATCAATCTGACGGAGCGGGAGAAGCAGCGCCAGCGACGCGAGTGCAA